GGAAAAAATAAAATTGGTAAGCCTCTAGGGAGGCTGCAGAAAAAGAAAGAGAAAATAAATTCTTAATGTCAGAAATGAAAGAGAGGCCATTATACAGACTCTCTGGGCATTTAAAGAATAGTAAAAAAAAATATGTACAACGCTATGCCCATAAATTTGATACATAGATGAAATAAGACAATTCCTTGAAAGAAACAAGCTACTGAAACTCAATGAAAAAGACACAGTTTTTCAATAGGCTTACAGAATATTGAATCAATAAAAATTAGCTTTCTAAAATAGAAAGCACCACTCCCAGATGTATTCAACTGGTGAATTCAACCAAACACTTAAGAAAAAAAATCATACCAATTATCAACAGTCTTTTTCAGAAAACATAAGTAGAGAGAATACCTCCTAACTTATTCTCTGAGGCCAGCATTTCCCTATACTACGTTGCAGATATTCCACAGGTTTTTGCTGCTTCAACTTGTATTTGCATGTTATGAGGATGGCTTCTTTCCTTAAACTTCATGAAGCAACCTCCACTAGCTTCAGACTTTTCTTCTGCAGCTTCCTCACCTCGCTCAGCCTTCATAGACTTGAAGAGAGTTAGGGCATTGTTCTGGATTAGGCTTTTGCTTAAGAAAACATGGTGGCAGGTCTGATCTTCTATCCAGACCACTATGACTTTCTCCATATCTGGAATAGGGTTGTTTTGTTTTCTTATCATTCATGTATTCAATGAACTGGCACTTTTAATTTTCTTCAAGAAACTTTCTTTTGCATTCACAATTGGCTAGCTGCTTGGTGCAAGAGGCCTACCTTGTGACCTGTCTTGGATTTTGACAAGCCTTCCTCACTAAGCTTAATCATTTCTAGCTTTTGATTTCAAGTGAGTGATGTGTGACTCTCCCTTCCACTTGAACACTTAGAGACTACTGCAGTGTTATTAATTGTCCTAATTTCAATATTGTTATGTCTTGGAGAATTAGGAGGCCCAAGGAGAGGGAAAGAGAAGAGGGGTATGTCTAGTTGGTAGAGAAATCAAAACCGACACATATTTATGAAGTTTGCCATCTTATATGGGAAATGTTCGTGGTGTCCCCAAATAATTACAATAGAAACTTCAAAGATTACTGATCACAGATCACCATAACAGATATAGCAATAAAGAAAAACTTTTAAATATTGCAATTACAAGATGTGACAGAGACATGAGTGAGCACATACTGTTGGAGAAAATGGCATCAATAGACTTACTCGTTGCACAGTTGCCACAAACCTTCAATTTGTGAAAAATGCAGAAACTGTGAAGGACAATAAGGTAAAATGCAATAAAAAGGTATACCTGTAGGTAGATAAACAGATAGGTAGAAAGAAAGACTAGCCTCATGTGTATATTACATAAATGGAATTCACAGTTACAAACATTTCTATAAAGAAAACTCCAGGCCCAGATGGTTTCACTGGAAAATTATGCTATACCTTTAAGGAAAATTAATAACTATTCTAGAAAGGAACACTATTCAACTTACTTTGTTAGGATAACAGTACCCTGATAACACAACCAGGCAAAAATATTACAAGAAAATGACAGAATAGTCCCCTTGAGCATAGATGCAAAAACACGTAACAAAATTTGAGCAAATCAAATGAAGCAATATATAAAGAGGGCAGTATATTATGATCAAGCGGAGATTATCCCAGGAATGCAGCATTGGTTTACAATAGAAAATCAATAAAAATAACTCATCATATCAACAAATTTAAAAAAGCATGGGATCATCTCAATTGATACAGAAAAAAAATGTGACAAAATTCAACATATGTGATTAAAAAAAAAAAAACTCTCAGCAATTTAAGACTAGAAGGAACCTTATGCAACCTGACAAAGTATGTCTACAAAATCTATACACTAACTTTATATGAAGTAGTGAAATACTGAGTTGTATACTTCAAATAAGTGAAATTTATAGTATACAAATTATACCCCAATCAAGAAAAAATAAAAATAATAAAAAGAAAACATAGAAGAAAAAAAAAAGAAAACAGAAAAATCTTTGTTACTTTGGGTTAGATTAAAAAGTAAGAAGCATTTTAAAAAACTTGATAAATTACAATTCTTCAAAATTAAAAATTCACTATTCAAAAGACACTTTAAGGAAATGAGAAGACAAGCATCAGATTAAGTAAAAACAGGTGCAAAGCCAATTTCTAATAAGAATTAATAGCCAGAATATGAAGAACTCTCTTTTGAAAACAAAAGCCCCAACAACAGCAACAACAAAAATGGTGCAAAAGATCAGACACTTCAGGAAGAAAACATATACACAGGAAATAAACACATAAAAAGATGCTCAACATCAACAGCCATTAGTTCTTATCCATCACTGGCAAGGAGGCAGAGCAACTGGAACTCTCATACATTGTGGATGAACATTCTAAATGAGACAGCCACGGAAAACAGCTTGGCAGTTTCTTATAAAGTTATATATGACCTTACCATATGACCTAGCAATCCCACTCCTAAGTATTTATGAACTCAAAAGAAAGAAAATCAGATGTTCACATGAATATGTATGAGAATGTTTAGAAGCAGCTTTAGTTGTAATCACCAAAAACAAAAACAACAACAAAAAAGTCAAAGGTTCATCAATTGGTGAAATAATAAACAAATTGTAATTCTCAAGAAATATTTTAAAATAAAAAGACTCAAAGTAGAGTAGTGGTGAGACCCAAAGTAGAGTGTGAAGAAACTTCATCTGGAAAAATACCAAATGGATTGCAACAGAAGGACACAAAAAGATTTAAAAGATATTAGAATAATAATGGAAAGATCCAAAGGTATTTTTAGAATGTTATTTGTTTAACCTGGGAGAGTGGAAGATAGTTTAAGGACTATGAAGCCTCACTGCTTGGGTGAGGCCCTCACATGCTCCTCCATTTACTAGCTCTGTGACCTAGGCACATTAACAGAACCTACCTCACAGCGTTAGTGCAAAAATTAAATGAATTAATACATATAGTAATTCTGAAAGTGGCTATGCTGATTATTAGATGCTATTATTGCAATTATTTTTATTAATCAACTCTTGAAGTTAACAATGTTTCTGTCACATAGTTTGAAACATTGTACAGCTCATTCCTTCTCTACGTGTGTGTGTTTTAAGAACTATAGTAAGCAGAAGTTGGATTCCAAACTAAAATCCTACCATACATTTGGCAGAAGTTCTGTCCAATAGGCCTTCTAATTGACTACTAAAACAATGATGTTATTTTCTCATCCCTTTGAAATTTTCTTGGCCTTCTACAATATAAGCAACAAGTATTTTAACCCAAAGATTTTCTCTGTTCACATCTAGAACATACCTCATAACTTCTGGTACCACTAGGTAAAGTTATTAGGTATCTTCTGCCAGAACCTGCATTAACACTGTTTCTTGATTCAGTTCTGATGGTGATTTTTTAAAATCAGCTTTTCATTAAGACTTTATTCTTACTTGTAATTCAAATATCTAAGTACATACCTTAAAACACAAAAAGGTGTCATATCTCTTTCCCCACATGCCAACTAATGATATGCCAGGAAAAACAAATGTATAAATCATCTATTTATAATTTATCTAAGATGAGAAATTAAACCTCTCATTATTCTTCCCAGATTTTTCTTCCCTCTTTAGCTGAACAAAGACACTATAGTAGACAAAATAAATAAAAGTTCTGAAACAAATATTTACACAATTTCAACTCTAATTATATGAAAGGAAAATAGGTGGCATAGCTCAAAATAAATCTTTAAAAACCCTCTACACCCCTCTACACTTTGCTATACTATTAAACTAATGGCAGTTGGTGTGACAGAGAATATAATCAAAGCAAATTCATGATACTCAAATTTATGAATTATACATTAAGTAAGATTTTATAGAAAGATATTTTAGAAATGCTAATTATTTATGTATCAAGCTTGTTCAATGTTTATAATTTATATATTTTTACTTATAGCTGGTATATAGCCTATTGTATCTGAATCACATAAAATAAATCTCTTTGCTGTGATATTTTGTTTTGCTATTCATTCATACATTTTTTTTTTTTTTTTCCTGAGTTGGAGTCTCACTCTGTCCCCCAGACTGGAGCGTAGTGGCCACTACCTGCTGGGCCTCTACCTGCTGGGCTCCTGCAATCCTTCCGTCTCGGCCTTCCAAGTAGCTGGAACTACAGGCGTGCGCTACCTCGCCCGGCTAATTTTTGATTTTATTGTAGAGATGAGGTCTCACCAAGTTGCCCAGGTGGGTCTCGAACCCGCGGGTTCAGGCAATCCACTCACCTCAGCCTCCCAAAGGCGTGGGATTACAGGCTGAGCCACCTAGTCCGGCTCTCATTCATACATTTTAATTTACATATACCTAAATAAGTGTAATGAAAATTTTAAAAAAACAACAAAAATATTAAAATTTTCCAGATGCCTTCCAGTTTCCCTCTTTCCTCTCTTTGCTGTAATCTGCAATGATCAGATTTCACGTAAATCACCTAATGGCATCACATAACTTAATTTTTAAAGGGTAACTAAAAGGAAAAGTAAATAAACACTAAAACCAAGGGTTTAAAAAAAACAAGTCCTTTTTTTTGCTGTTAATTCCAAACACCCACATAATATGAACAATGGTATGCTACATATTGCAAAATATTGGAATTAAGATATAAGCAATATTTTTTCTTTAAAAAATAAATTGATACTTATTCTAAGCAATGTAAGTTAAACTTTAATGAAATAAACCAGATTTCTGGACACTGCTCCCCCAAAATCAGGCTGGGCAGTAGGGGAAGCATGCGTTTCTTTTAGAAACATATCCAGTTGGGTCAGCTATTTTGGTAGCCTTTAAAAATAAGCTTATGTTAATTGTGATAAACAAAAATTTATTTCTGAACAAACACTCAGCTTTATAAACAAAATACAAGAAGAATAGCCTAAAACGTTTACAAACACAAGGCCATTGGAGAGTATAGGAACCTACCTCATGCACAAGCGCAAGTGATATCTGCTTGAAACTTCGCCCTCTACTGGCCATCAGTCTATTCAGGGGTTTGCCATCTTTACTCTGATACATTGAAACATCATAGCAAAACAACATACCACCTTTAAAAAAAAAAGAAATGTATAAATATATTTCTTATGGCAAAATGTTATTAATTACATTCTCAGTAATCTATACTGAGAATCAGTATGAATGTGGCAATTTATAAGTAAAAAGATCATTTGCTAAACTAATTATGACATGACTATTGGGGTCTAAATAATAAAAAATAAATTAAAAAGTTAACATTTGAAACAAATGATAAGTAAATAAGTATTTATAAATAAATTAACAAATTTATAATTCTTGACTTATTTCAAATTTTGTGCCCTATTAGTTCTAGAGATTCCATTAAGTTTTTAAAATTTCAAGTAAAGGAAAATGATTACACACATTAATTTTCATGAACTGTTGATAACACGGGTTCCCTTAGTCTATACTCACAAGTGGACAAGCTTTCCCTCACACCTGCATTCAAATATCTTCACTCTCTCTCTTCTCCCTGTCCTTCCTACTGTGGTCAACTAAGTTCTCAACTGAACTTTCAGTCCCAGTCAGATTCACTGTCAGTCAAAAGCAAAGGCAGACAGTCAAGTGCTGGAGGATGAGTTAGGGTAGTCTTGAAAAGTACTTTGGTTTCTGAACCAATGAGAAGACATATTCAGGGCCAAGATAACTTAAAATATAGAGATCATTATATTTTTTCAACCTCTCTTATTGAAGTATGATGAACACAGAGAAAAGTGTACATATCATAGTCATGCAGTTCAATGAGTTTTCACACACTGAACAAATGTGTAACCAGCATCCATATCAAGGAATAAAACAGTACCAACATATCAGAAGCCCTTCCTCATACCTCCTTTCCAGTCATATCAACTCTATACCAAAGGTAGCATAATTTCTGTCAACCATTTTGCCTACTTTGGTACTGTATACCAATGGAATCAGACTGTGTATATGCTTTCATATCTGGTTTCTTTTGCACAACATAATTGTTGCAAGAGTCATTCATGGTGCAGTTGGCAGTTGTAGTATATTCATTCTCATTGCTGAATGATATTCTATCATGTAAATATATCATAATTTATTTATCCAATTTATCATCAAGAGGCATTTAGATAGCTTTCAAGTTTAGGGCTACTCAAACAGCACTGCTATGAACATTATAGTATATGTCTTTTGGTAGGTTCATTTCATTTTATCCCTAAAAATAAAATAACTAGTTAAAATAGGATATATGTTTTCAGAACCAGTTTTCCAGACTCATATTAGCTTACCTCCCAACAGAAATTCTGGTTATTCCACAAATTTACTAATACTTTGTATTTTCCATATTTTTTCATTTTAGCCTCTGGTAGATATGTAGTAATATTCTATTGCAGCTTGTCTTCACATTTCTCTGATGCTAATGAAATTGACCAACTTCTCATGTTCATTGAACATCTGAATATACACTTTTTGAAGTGTCCAACTTTTTCCTATTTTTCTATTGATTGTCTTTTTCATATTGATTCGTAAAAGTTCTTTATATATTTTTGATATGAGTCCTTTTTCAGATACATGCACTGTAAATTCCCTCTTTCATTCTGTCACTTGCCTTTTCATACTCCATTAATAGTATATTTTGATTAACACATGATCTTAAATTAATATAATCAACTTTTCATTATTTTTATAATTAGAACTTTTAATTTTAGAACCATTTGCTGAAAAGCACCCCTTTTCTCTACAGCATTCCAGTGTCACCTTTCTCATAAATCACTTTCTCATAAATGAACTGTATGTATGTGTGCATGTCTCTGAACACACTATATTCTTCCATTAGTCAGTATGTCTATCCTTGCACAAATACTACATTGTCAATTACTGTGGTTTTATAATAGGTCCCAATATCTGGAGATGTATGTCCTCCTATTTGGTGGTTGTTCTTCAAGATTGCTTTGGTTACTCTTGGCCTTATGCATTTTCACATTTTGAAATCAAATTGTCAATTTTCAAAATCTACTAAGATACTAATTGGGATTAGGTTGAAGCTATATATTAATTTGGGGAGAGCTGACATTGTTACAAGCAGTCCCTGGCCCATAAAGATGGTATATCACTATATCTGCTAAGACTTCGTTCTCTCAAAAATATTTTGTAGCTTGCAGTGTACACATTATACACACCTTTTGCTAAATTTACTCTGGGTTATTGATATTTCTGATGTTGTTAAAATAGTATAGTTGTTAAATTTTCCTTATTATTTCCATTTATTATATTTGTATAATTTTTCATTATTATTGGTTTTTATATATTAACCTTTGTATGTATACAGTAGCCTTGCTGAATTCTCTTATTAATCCTAGTAATTAGATTGTACATCATTTGTTTTCCCATGTATAGTCATATCATTTGTAAATAATGACTATTTATGTCTTCTTCTCTAATCCTTATGACTTTTATTTCTTTTTCTTAGCTTATTGCACTAGCTATGACCTCCAATACAGTACTAAATAATAGTGGTAATAACAAGCATCCATATCTTTTCCCCAAAATCAGAGAATAAAGGTTTCACTATTTCAGTATTAAGTAGAAATATGACATGGTATGTATTCTCTATCAGAATAAAATAAATTATTTTCTATTTATGGTTTAATGACACTCATTTGGTATTATGAATAGATGCTAAATTTTTCAAAGTCTTTTGCTGCACTATTGAGTTCATTTAAAGATTTATTCTTCCCAGCTACTCAAGAGGTTGAAGCAGAAGATAACATGAGCCCAGGATGTCAAAGTTATAGTGAGCCATGATCATGTCACCGTATTCCAACCTGGGTGACAGAGTGACATCACAAAAAAAAAAAAAAAAAAAGATTGTTCTTTTTCTCTTAATTCAATAAATTATATTGCTTTTTGAGCATTAAATTAACTCCACTTAATTTATGTGTTAGTCTTAGCATATATTTCTCAATTCAATTTTCTAATATTTTATTTCAAATTTTTACATCTATATTCCATGAAAAAAATTGGTAACATTCTTTTCTTATAAAGTACTTGTCTGGTTTTTGTGTTAATATAATGCTGATAGTCTGTTTTAAAAATGTTCTTCTAAGCCGGGCTCGGTGGCTCAGCCTGTAATCTCGTGTCTGCTTATGAGTGAGAAGATATAAGAAAGGGCTTGGCAGTAGTGGGAAACTGCCGGGGGCGAGGGGACAACACATACCTCATCAACAAGGGTACCTGCATAATGAACATTTGTATACCTAACCCCGAATTGTACCCCACATCTTTAAAATAAAATAAAATAAAATAAAAACCTGTACCTTGATACCATGCATTATTCTTACCTGCAAGGCCAGGTTTCAATCCTGGTTGCTTGTTCGTTTCATACATTTTCAATATAAAATTGGGGATTCCTGCTACAGTCTTTCCTTGGTCTGAGCGAGCACCTCCTTTTAATGCCAAGTGATATATCCCACGAGGCATATTTGCCATTTCTTGCTTCACAAGTGATGTAAAAAATTCCTCTAAAGCTAAAAGAGGATAAAAGGAGACCAAAAGTGGAGTTTATACAACATGCTAGAAGATAAACCTTCGTTCTCATGTATAAACACAATTCACATATACGCAATGAAGTTATATTTCTGGCCAAACCTCATATGGTAAAAAGAGAACTCTTGATCCTCATTGCTTTCTTAGTCTTTTCCAAATTAAACATGGCAATCAGTTGCTCAAGATTAAAAACTTAGTAGTCATTGATTTTTCTCTTTTTCTCACTTCTTATATGCAATCTATTAGCTAGTCCTTCTGGCTCCACCTTCAAAATACAACCCAAATCCATCCATTTCTATTTTCATTATCTAGTTATTGTCTTCTCCCTTCTCCATACAGACTAATGTAAAAACCAGTTTTTTGGTTTCTTTTCCTGCTGACTACCCTGATAGACCTTCCTTAGCCCAGAGGACAGACTTTTGTCATTCGCCTCACTAACATCTTCCAGTAGCTTTTCACTATACATAGAAAAAAAATCTCAACTTTGGAGCATGATACAAGACTTCGAGAATTTAGCCCTGACTTGCTTTCTAAGCTCACCTCTGCCACCCTCCCTCCTTGCTGTGTTGAAGCCATACTTCCCCATGGCCTCTTCCTGTTCCTCAAAAACACAAAGTCAGTCTCTAAGTCCGTGCCATTGCACTTGCTCCTCCTTATACCTAGAACATATTAGTCCTAATTTTTTATGTGACCAGTTCCTTTTTGTTATTCAGGTGTTCTCAAAGAGGACTTTCATGACCACCCATCATTCTCTAGCAATATTAATATAATTATTTAAAAATGAAAAACGTACTTATTATTTCTTTGCTTGTGTTCCTTCTAATTAAGCCCAGGATATTTATTGCCTGACGTTTAACTTATTACAGAAAAATACAGAAATGTGAGATCACAAGACAACAAGATGCCCAAACAAAATACTTGATAAAACTATAGGTTTCTATTCAAATGTTATTTTCCCAAGGGCCACTAGAGGTTGCCCAATATAGAAACAAAAACAAAAACAATTATAGGCTGGGCTTGGTGGCTCATCCTGTAATCCTAGCACTTTGGAAGGCAGAGGCAAGAGGATTGCCTGAGCCCAGGGATTCAAGACCAGCCCGGGCAACTTAGCAAGGCCTTGTCACTACAATAAATCAAAATATTAGCTGGGCATGGTAGCACGCACCTGTAGTTATGGCTACTTGAAAGGTTGAGGTGGAAGGATCGCCAGAGCCCAGCAGGTCGATCTGGTCTGACAACTCCAACTTAAAAAAACAAAAAAAAAAAAAAAATATATATATATATATATATATATATATATATGTTCTTTTTTTTTTCTCTGTTGCCCAGGCTGGCATGCTCATGGCCACCACAGCCTCGACCTGCTGGGCTCAGGCAATCCTTACACCTCAGACTTCCAAATAGCTGTAACCACAGGCACGTCTCTTCATGCCTGGCTAGTTTTTGATTTATTGTATAGATGAAGTCTTGCCATGTTGCCCAGGCTGGTTTTGAATCTGTGGGCTCAGGCAATCCTTTCTCCTTGGCCTCCCAAAGTGCTGGGATAACAGACATGAGCCACCGCACCTGGCAAGACATCCTTATTTTTTTTTATCATAAAGTTTAGAAAAAGTAGAGCAATATAAAACCAGTGGAAAATTTGACCTTGTTTTTGTAAGATGAATCCATCAATGCCTGAGTTCACGGAAGTGGTTTCAGTTGTTAGTTTGCAAGGTGCTCATCAGAAATGGTTGTTCAGCCAGGCTCGGTGGCTCAGCCTGTAATCCCGTGCCTTGGGAGGCTAAGGCGAGTGGATTGCCTGAGCCCGCGTGTTCGAGACCTGCCTGGGCAACTTGGCGAGACCTCATCTCTACAATAATCAAAAAATTAGCCGGGTGTGATAGTGCATGCCTGTAGTTCCAGCTACGTGTAAGGCTGAGGTGGAAGGATTGTCAGAGCCCAGGA